CCGCGGGCCGGAGGGGCGGCCCCGGTGTGCAGGGGGGGTCAGGCCGCGGTGCCCCCCAGACCAACGGGTCCCCCGCTGTGTGCAGGAGAAGTGCATGGACAAGCCGGGTCCGAAGCTGGACAGCCGGGCCGAGACGTGCTTCGTGAACTGCGTGGAGCGCTTCATTGACACCAGCCAGTTCATCCTGAACCGGCTGGAGCAGACGCAGAAGTCCAAGTCGGCCTTCTCGGAGAGCCTGTCCGACTGAGCGGGACCCGTGCCCCGGGGGACGCTGGCCAGCCCCCCACAAGGCTGGGCCCTCTGCCGCACCGGCTCCCGGTCACTCTGCCGCCTGAATGAGCCAGGATCAGCTCTGGGGTTTAGGATTTAATTAATTGCCAGTCTCAGGAAAGATGCAGCCAGATGAGAGCCCACAACAGAAGCACAGTCACTCCTCCTCGGGGTGATGTGCTGCTTCTGGCCCCGCGGGCCAGTGGCCAGCTTTGTGCTGGGACTCCGGGGCTACCAGTGCTACCCAGGGAGCGTTCGGAACGCACCCGCTCAGCTGAACGGAGGGGTGGCGATGCTCACGTCTGGGGGTGCTCCCAGCGCTGATGTGAACCTCAGCTCTGGGTGAGGCCAGCCTGCGACCGCTGCCTTAAACGGTGCTGCACAAAACAAACCCTCCTGGGCAGACGCTAACAAGCCCTGCAGGTGCCATCGCTGTGCAGTCCAGTACAGGTACCCTGAGCGAGAAGAGCTTGTTGGGCACAGTGATCATCCCAGGCAGCGTCACTACTGGAAAATACTTTCAGGCTTCCATAGGTAAATCATTCACGTGGCCAAGTGACAGATTTTCAAATTGCAGCACAACTCTCTCAATACTGACGTGCTCCGTTAACTGCTTTCCCCTGGTCAATGTAATAAATATTAACTGGGTCAATTTTTAACATGAGATTCTTCTTTGTTCAGGTAGATGACCACTGAGAATTGAAAATCTGGCCTTCTTGTCACTCTCCCTCCTTCCCAGTGATCCTGTTTATTGCAAAATTAGTAGGGAGAGGGCACAGTTGTCTTCTGGCTAGAAAGTCTGCTCTGAATTCTGATTTGTTGCTCAATTAATTTGGTCCCATGAATCAAACTTGTTTCTGGGAGAGGCTGTGGCCTTTCCTCCTCTTCCCCCAAGGGTTAACAGCTCTTGCTGTCCTGTAAAGGAGTAGTTTCTTTAGAGAGACTAAATGCAGGTAACAAGTACCCAGTTACTTTATAACCTCATGCACCTTTACCTGTGGAGATCCCTGGAGGGAAGCCTATGGCTGTGTCTTCTGGACCTCTACCCCCAGGACACAGAGAGGAGCTTCTAACTGGAAAAACAACAAACTACCGATCCAGCCTCTGGAAAGGCAGCATAGCATAGCATTTCGGCAGTGTTTACATACAGCGTGGCTCTGGGAAGCCTGGAGCGACCCACTGACAGTGGCTTGGAGCTCTGCACAGGAACTTGATACAGCAGTTCTGCACACCTCCGTTTGCCATGGTGGCTGGACAGGGCATGTGAGTTCCTAACATGGGTGGCTTGTAGCCAGCAGCCTTCCTGGGAACAAATTCAGGATGTGTTAAACAGAGCTATGCAGATATAAACCCACATAAGTGAGGACAGAGCTGTCTAGGTGTCTTTCAGAAACTTACATCAACAGCTAAGGACTCTTAGGTCACTCCTGTTCCCACAGCAAGCGATTCCCTCTCCTGTCCCTGTCTTGAGTTTCTCTCGAGCATCTGCACAGCTCTTCCTACACCTGTAATCCTTCACGCCTTTCAGCACTAGCCCAGCTCTCGGTACAAATGTATCACTAGCCACTTGTTAACTGAACAAATCGGTTTTTAATAGAATACAGTAAGCAGGTGCTTCATCAACCTGCACAGCAGACGTTACGTGAAGAGGTTGGTCCCTCTGTAAGAGTCACAGCAGCACATGGCAGCACCACTGAAGTTTTCCAGTTTTAGCTGTATTCTGTTCTTGGATGTGAATCTGTAAATAAATTCTAGCAGAGTGAGCAAAACAAGTACTTGACAGAGGAATTTTTTAATTAATATTCTGGGTTTGTCACCTTTAAAGCCAGACATCCACCTTCTCTCTGTGTAATCTTAGCACCATGTTAGATTATTTTGTAACTGTTAATCTTCTAAGTATATTTTTAAAAAATGCTGAGGCCTCCCCAAACGTGTGGTCTTCGCATTCAGTAAGGGTTAGCACTGTGTTAGTGCTGCAGGCCTCTGTGCAGCTGAAGTCTGTGTCCTGACGAGGGCAGATCAATTCTTCATGTAAAAAAACAGTGAAGAGGCACTGGATCGCAGGAACTGGGTGGTTCCCGGGAACCACTGCTGCAGGAGGCTGCTGTCCCTGTCAGCCTCCTGGCAGTGGCAGGTTGCCCAGCTTGTGCCTGTGGCAGGTAGATGGTAACTGCCAACTCCTGCTAGCGCGGCAGTAGCTAGCAGCAGCTGAGGCAGCATGTTCAACCTTGCAGCAGAGCTGCTCAGCAGTAGGAGCAGAGAGTTAGCAGTTCAGAGGCTTCCTCACATGCTTTCACCTTCCTCCTCCTCTTCCTCCTCTGCGCTCTGAGAGCCTTTGTCCTCTGAGGGCAGAAGAGGCTGGTGCTGACATGACTGATGTCTGTCTGCGCTCCTCCATGAGGTGTGCAGGTCTGCCCTGCCTTGCTGCAGGAAGAGGGGCAGGAGGTCGGGGGTGAAGGGCATGTCCCTGAAGGCGTGCAGGAGGAAGATGCCGGACACGATGGTGAGGAAGCCGCTGATGGTGCCGATGATGTTGTCTAGCACCATGTGTTGCCACTCCTTGAAGAGGATGGCAGAGCACATCATGACTGCTGTGGTGAACAGCACGTAGTAAATGGGCGTGACCACAGCTGTGTTGAAGATGTCCAAGGCTTTGTTCAGATAGTTGATCTGGACGCTGATGCAGATCACAAGGCACACCAGGAGCACCCAGCCCAGTGGTTCCTTCAGGACTGGCTTCCCAGAAAACAGTTCTTTCAGGGCAATCCCCAAGCCTTTGACACAGGACACAGAAAGTGAGCCGATGGCAGAGCAGACCAAAACATAAACCAGGATGTTGCTCTGTCCATAACGGGGTCCAGCCACAAAGATAAGCAGAAGGGAGCTCACCAGGACACACACAGCAAATACAATGAATCCTTGGGGAAAGAAGAATTAAAGAGCTTTATCAGAGAACAGTAGCACCAGCAACAGATTTAACTGAACAGCAAGTAGAGATGGAGGACAGGCGGGTAACTGCCCCCTCAGTCTGTCTTTTTAGCTTCCACCTGTAGGGACCAGAGTTGGGAAGCAGAGTTGGTCTCTAGCCTGAGCAAAGTTGCAGAGACAACAGCAGCTCTTTACAGTGCTGATCACAGCACCACCCTGCAAGTCAGCCTGTCAGGGGATACAGCCGCCCGTGCTGGAAGGGGTAGCCAGGCTCTACAGCCCTACGGGAGGTGGGGGGCTTGTTGAGCAGGAAGACGAGGGGACACAGCTCTGCAGGAGGCCCAGGAGGGTGGCAGAAGGCTTGGGAAGCCCTAGCTGAACTCTGCAGGCTGTGGTGGGATAAAGACGAAAGCGCCACATCACAGGAATGTGAGGCCCTGCCAGAGTGCTCCCTCTAATGAGGGGCAGCATCTACCTGTTACTCTGCTTTGCTCTTCTCCCTACGCTTCCTTCCTCCATCTCCTGTGGCTTATTCTGCCATTCATGCTATTGCCCAAATCATATCCTTGCAACCTGATTCATCCTCTAACAAAAATGATATTTATGGACTACCTGATCTTGGGCATAACTCCTTGAATTGCTTGTTCATCTCTGCCTGAAGTTCCTCCTCTGTCTTCCCTCAGCCACACCACTGCCACCCTCGTGTACAGGAATTCCCTCTCCTATCCCAGGCCCTTCTGCTGACAGCTGCAGCTAACGCCCATGCTCTTCACTTTTTGCATTTATACAGACAGTACAAAAAAAAGCACACTTGGTAACTGTTAATGACCCAAGTTCTCATCCTTGCTTCAGCACAGACCCAGTGACTTGGGACCATCACCCAGACTCCCTCTCTGCGAAGTGGGGTTCCCGTCTGCTTCTTTCACCTGGGGTCACGAGGACTTGACAGTCCTAACAAGCCATTCTGAAGCTGACAAGTCCCCCTATGTTTTGAGCTAGTTAACAAGGTGTAAATCCTCTGAGTGCATGCAGTAAATGCTGTTTGACTGTCACCAATCTTTTATATTTAGAGCGTGGGGACTCCAGCCTTTTCCCACCACAGAAGCCAACTCACAAGCTATCCTGGACACAGGGGAATGTTTCCTCCACTGGTGCACAGAACAAGAAACAGCTCAATTACCCTTTAGTTCAGTCCTTCCCCGTCTAGCCAAGCTGTATCCTACCTTCTACTGTCATTTCCAAGCCTGAAGTTGTCAGGATCCCTTTTATTTAAGTACCTGGATCTTTCAGCTTCTCTGCCATTGACTCCAGGCTGGAAACCTCTTCTTCCTGCGGAGCATGGATCACCATCACCGTGGAGCCCAGGATACTCAGGATGCAGCCAATCTTCCCATGAACATTCAGCTGCTCATTCAGGAAGGTGGAAGACAGAACTGCACTGAAAGATAGTAAAAAAAACCAACAAAATCAATTAGGCCAAGGGATGGAGTACCTGAGGAAAGAGACAGAGGAAAGCAGAGCAACTGCTTTCACCACTAAGGGGTGGTAGGTAAGGGTGTTTCTGAGGCTGCTTACCTAACAAGGACACTTAGAGCACCCAGTGGAGTTACCAGCGTTGCAGGGGCAAAGGCATAGGCAGCAAAATTTGCTGCTTCTCCAACTCCCACTGCAAGAGAAACTGTCAGGTGAGCATCAAAGTAGGAGCAATTCAGCATAATACAAGCTTGAGTGCAGTCAGAAGAGAGCCTCAGTTTCCACCTGAGCATCCCATGTTTCGCTGAGGTATGTTGCGCAACCAGGAAAGAACAGCACCAGCAAGGGCAAGCAGAAGCCCAATATAGGTTCTCTTGGGAAGAGAAGGCTCGTGGCTACGCATGGCGATCCTTATTCACACGTGGCTATGCAGCTGAGCAGTAACCACAGAAATATCCTCAAAGCTGAAAGGAGTTTTGACTCGTTTCATATTTCTAAGTCACATTCTTCCCCTGGAACAGGGGTAAGGTTTCTCCTTTTTAAGGGGTAAATCAAGTACAATTGGTTATTAATATTGAAAAGTGTAAAATAGAGCTGCTGAAATCACTGTAGCGCTAAACGCACGGTGCTGGATGTGCCACTATAACTACATCGTCTGGGCAGGCCATTTCAGAAGCAGTTAACCCAACCCAGTTAGACCAGCTCCTCAACCCCTGTTTAGCAGAGAAACCTGGTAATGCATGAGACTTCAGAATATTTTAGAGTTATAATTGGATCAACAACATCCTCAGACACTCAGATAAAAATCAAGCAGTCAAACAACATCATACTAATAAAACATGAAAGCAACTGGAAACGATGGACACACTCTTAAGTGTGTCTTGCTACAGTTTCAGAGCGGGTACTTACTGCACAGCAGCCCCGCCCACCAAAGCCACTCCTGCAGGTATGCATGACCTCCTTGCCCTAAGTAAGGAAGAAAGAGTAACAAGAAACCTCAAATGAAGCTACATAAAAGGCTCATTATCCTGCCAGAACTGCCTCGGGGAAGCAAGTGGGAGCAGCCTGATCTCCTGCGTGCAAGGCTGCCGGGGTCTGCCTGCCTTGTCACGTATTGGCCTGAGCCAGACGTGGGCAAGCACCGATTCTTTTACCCTAAAAGCACAGATTTTATCCCCTGGTTCTCCCGCCTTTGAAAGACAGCAGTTTCAAGAACGCGTGCGTGGTTGTAGGAACGTGTCTTTGCTGGCTCTGGGCGATGGCTGGCTCCCCCTCTAGCAGAAGTCTACTTTTAGACCGAAAAGCCCCACCAGCAAGGCGGGGGCGGCCACGGCCCAGCGCGGGCCGGGCGGAGGCCGACACGGCCTGCAGTGTCCGGGGAAGGCGCCGCCGGG